TCATATTATATTGACACAAACAATTTGAATGCAAGAATCCTGATACTACTGTGATTTAATTCCATTTATATACACTAGCTTGGGCAGATCTACTCTTCTCTGTTACCCCCAATGCCTTTAGCAAAGCTACAATAATTCCTGATGAGAGACCACACGTTCTGTGGTCTAAATGGTAGAATAATGAGTTTTCTTTCATTTTCTCTCTCTAGCTATGGCCCTTGGAGGTTATTCTTTATGTCCCAACTTTATGTTGGGAGAATTTACTGTTAAGACAAACTTGCAAAGTTATTCATCAAAAGAACATCATAACATCACAGCAACAACATCTGAGACACCAAAACGTGAAACATTTATAGTTCAGATGTACTGAACACCAAACAGTGTAAAAATAATACATCAAAAGTGATTCACATTAAATTTCGACTTATTTTTCTCTTTCAAGGCCTGAAGAGCATACAGCCCTCTCTAACGAGCTCATTTAATAAGCAGTTAACATCTTATTACCTCAACAATTTTATCATATCACGCTGACGTCAGGTGTAAAGAACTACTGCAGTCACAATCAAGATGCTCTATCATGTAGCTGAGGCTGCTCTCTCTGCAGGGCAGTAAGTCAAACCTTTGAGAATCCATGTGATTTGTACACTCCTATGGCTCACAGTACTAACAGGTTGTTAGAGAGTTTACAGCCCTTCTGACTTTGTCTAAAAAAACATTAAGACAACGACCAACTGACATGGAAAGTATCTGTATTATGTGTACTTTTCCTCTGCCCTACACAGAATCTTATTGGAATACAGCTTTCCCATAAACACTGAAGCAGAAGGAAGAAGAATGTTCAGTCATACCTCGAATATTCTTGTGGATATGGGGAAGAGTACCAGGTCTGAATTTCATACTTGCCAAATTCGATGACAGAGGGGCATCGAACTTGTGGATCAGGAGGTCCAGTCACCCCTACTTTCTATGCAAGAAGGAAAAAAAAAAGGATTTTGTGATTTTCCAAGTGAAAGATTTCTAAGCTAAAATTACAACACTTACACAGCTTCAATGCAAGCTGTCTTATTTGAACTCCATGTTCCTCAGTATAATTTTACCTCTTTTACAAGTAAGGTACTTCGCACCAAATGCTGAAAAAGTAACTTTACCTGCAGTGCTTGCTCCTGAATATCTCTAAACAACTCCATATCTTTTTCAGTTAAGACATCCTGGCTTCCAAAAAAGCGCTCTTCATTTTCCTGCTTTCCATCCCAGCCATCCTGATTGTCTGTAAATAAAAGAAAAAAGAAAAAATTGCCACATCTGTATTTACAAAGGAGCACATGCTTTTCAGTGCAGCATGAAGCAACCTCTATCTGCATTCAGTCACTTTGTTGAGTTTCATAATAAGATTTTCTACTCAGATTTGGGACCACAAAGGAAAAACCATTTCTGGATTTCTGACCACGTGAGAAGGAATGTCAGATATTCAACCAAAACTCATCACTTAGGATTTCACGTTTCAAACGCCATCATGGAACTAACGAGACCACTGTGGATAAATGGCTTACCACTGCTCCTCTCACAAAGAAGGATCAATATTATTTAAATGCTATATTTGCTACAACTAAAATCAGGATGCTTACTACCCAAGCAACCCTCCCAAAACCAACCAAGCAAACAAAACATAACAAACAAACCCCCAAACCAGCAACCCCAGCAAACAGAATAAAAAAAAACAAACAAGCAAAGTAGAACCATGTTCAAGGAAGGGATTCTCTCCAACAGGAAGACAAACATTACATGAAGCAAGCTCCTCTATGGGAGGAAAAGTCAAGAAGCATTTGCATGCAAGCCTGATCAGAAAAAAAGTCTTTCAGGCATGTTTTCATTATCTGTTTCCCATTTCATACTTCTACATGCTGCTCTTCATTGCATTAGTTACACCCTATGTTATTTCTTTCAAACATGACATTATTTACCAAATTTGTTTGGGTTATCAGCCAGCTCTTCATTATCAAAAGGACATTTTATCTGATGGTAATCATTTAGTTCCTAATCACATCTTGCCATCATAAAGTGACAAAGGTCTCCTCTTCCCTTTTCCAGCTGTTACAATGCAGATAGCTGCATTTGAGTAACTTCCCAGCCCCATCACTTCAGCATCCTAACCTTTGTGAACATTTTCCTCGAGTACAAAATACCTGCATTGGCAGAGTGAAAAATCTTTACCTGTGGGCCACTCTGAAGTGCTAGATTTTCTGGTACCCTTTTTCCTGATCCTATACTGCTGAGAATAGTCTACCACTTCCCCTCGAGCTTTTCGTCCGTCAGGGGAGGGAGTGAAGAATTTAGTAAGGCCATCTATAAGCCCTTTGGTTTTTTTGTTAAACTTCAAGGTAGCACTGCTTTCTCTGCAGTAGTCCAACATATCTGTCTGCTCCAGGTATCCTCCTTCTGATGATGCTGACTGGCTGGACAGAGTTATCTTACGCTTCCGACCCCGACCAGGGCCAGTTCGAACTTTGCTGAAGGGTCCTTTTGATCTAAAGAAACAAAGGGAAATATATGGTAAGAGCCAGTAAAGTGGTTTGGTTTTGCTTACAGAGTGGATTAGTATCTTCCCTATTTATTTATGTATCACACAGAAGTTAAATGTGAACTAATTCTAAGCACCTCGGTTCTGCACGCTGAACAGTATGAGCAATTAGTTTGAGTATAAATAACAGATAGTCATTAAATTCAATAAATGAAATTACAAAAGACAGGAGACAGAACGAATACACAGAAAGTTTCAATTTACATTTTCCAATTTATGTTTCTCTAAGCATCAGAAACAATGCAAAGCAAACCTATCAGAAGAAGCAGCCATTCAGAATAACAGATCTGACACAAACAGCAGAATAAATCAGTGACTATAAGGAACAGCTTGTAAGAAAATGGGAGCCATTAGAAAGAATAATAATAATAATAAAAAAATCAAGACACAAATGAAGAGATTTATTTCACTCTGAGATTACTGATCCAGATCACTCTGAGATTACTTCATTCTTTTACAGAGCTCTTCAGAAATTTTGTATTAAAGAACGAAAAATTCTTCATAAAAAATCTCACAGAAAGTAGACACAACACTTCAGAAAAGCTCACTGTCCTACAGAATCACACACCTCGTTCCTTTTCATAGAGAAACTTACGTTGCATTTTGATTCTTTAACCTGTTTTTGGGACGTCCTATTGGATTAGCATAGCGTCGTTTTATCTGTGCTGCCTTCTTGTGTAAAAGTTTTCTTCCTTTCTTACGTGGCCGACATATCTGGCATATCCACATACCTATAAAACACACAGTGTCCACTGCTGAACGCAAGGAACATCTACGTTGAAGAAAGGCAGAACTAAAGGCCCCAGGCTTTCCAAAAGAAAACGTAAGAATCGGATCAAAGGTGCTCTCCACAGATACGTATGCAAAGAAAAGTAATGCATAAACCAGGAATCTAAGTTCATATTTGGTTAATTCCCACTCCCTCATACCCCACCATGATGTATTTCTCACACCCATTTGCAAAGCCTCTTTAACAGGCAGCATATTGTCAGAAAAACGTAAAAAAGTAACATTACCACACCCTCTGATCACCAACAAACTAATTCCAATCATCTTCTATAGGATTTTTTTTTCAATTATCAACAAGAATCTTCCACAGGTGACCTGTTCTCTGATACCTACTGTCCAAACAAATACTGTTTCAAAAACATACAAGCCAACCTCTTTCTTACATACAAAGCTATTCACTCAAATCAAAGCTGACCGCTTTAATCTGCATGGATCAATTCTATTATATCTCAGTTCTTGAAGACTTCTTTTAAATACCTGAAAAGCAATAATGTAAAGAGCAGGTTAAAAGTAACTAAGAGAATAAAGTGTGTGGAAGCCCTTTCTAACCACTGATCCCTTCCTACACCACATTAAATTATGCCTTTCATCACAAACTTCTCACCTTTTGGCATCCTGGTAAGAGGGGGATCACAGCACTCCATGTGAAAGCCACGGTCACACGAGTCACAAAATAGCATGTTATCCTGTTGAAGACAGATACAGTTAATCTCTCTTTAATGTGCATAAATCCCTCCATTAAAATTTGTCACCATCTGGGAGAATACACACATAGCTCTCAAACTACTGACAGTGCATTTGACAGGTGTCAGGAAGACTATAAAACAGGAGCTGCAAATATTTAACTCCAGAACTGTTTTATGTTATATTTTAACAGAACATTCACAAGGCTGATGTCACACTAAATCAGTCCATTCTCCACTGTACTCACAGCATTTTTGCCCTGATCTCGACAGGAACTGCAGGTTTTGCACTCAATACATTGCCATCGCAAGGCTTTGACTCGAACTGTCAGCTCTGGTGAGAACTTCAAACAGGAAGGATGACCTGCAGGAAATGGAGAGCATGATACCAGTAAAACCACCCTACTGCTGCTAATGATCACAGGTAGCTCACAGAGAGTTCACTTTGTTAATCACGTATTTCCATGAAGAAATATGATTATCCAGATACTCCTGTTTTTAGGTGCCTCTACCCTTATCCACTCATACACAGCACCCTAGAAAGTAAGTGGCAGGGCCATGTTCAAAAGCACACCAAGATATTTTTTCACAACTTGAGTTATGCTAGCCATCATCACTAGATTTTCAAGAAACTTCCAGGGAGTAAATGAACTGCTTGTGTGTAAGGTTAATTTAAGTGCTTCCTCCCAGAACCAAGAGATTCATTCAGCTAGTCTTATCATGTCACACATGCATACTCCCAGTACGTATGGATCAGTGTCAGTCACTGCACTAAACTCTTCTGTCTCAGGTGATGGGTTATTACCAGCAGCATTGGAAGTGGTCACCTACCACTGTTGCCACAGTCAGCACAAGAGATGAGCTCTTCAGGTTTCTTCTCCCGATTTTGCTCTTTTGTACCAAGGCAGAAACTGCAGATTGGAATTGGTTCAGCAACCGGCTGCGTGAGAAAAACAGATAACAAAGTCACTCAGTATATCAAAGCAGCAAATTACATAGTACAACTAATCGTGCAGGCATTTATATCACATGTAAATAGAATGTACTGCACACTGTGTTGCTTCTCACCTCACAGTAAATACTGCATTAGCACTGTAACCCAAAGAAAAATGAGAGCACCAAAGACAGCAGAAATAATGCCAGGCACAAAGGCAAAAGAGAATGGAATTCCAAGACTAGAGGAAACTTGGAAAAATAAGAGCAGCAAATTAATATGTAAGAGAAAGGAAACTAGAGCATGTTGATGTCTTAATTTGTCACCAAATGAACGAGCTACGAGGTGACACACATATGATCCCAGAACAGAGTAATCTTAGAAATTCCCATCACGTATCCAGAGAGCCATCGTCCCAGAAGCGTTTGTGATACGTTAACTGAAATAAAATATCTTATGGAACAACGACAACTACCACAACACCATCAACATGCGTATGAAAAGTGAAAACAAAAGGAAATTCTTGCACAAGAAATTATACAGGTGTCCTATTTAGCACTCAGAAGCAGCACACAAAAAGGTCTGTCCGCTCTGGAAAAGTTCAGGTTATTTAAACATTCCCTAAGAGAAAAAGATATTTAAGAGGAGGAGCAACACTTGCAAAATCACAGCTAGGTATTAACTAGTCAGCAATACCTTTAATTTGTGAAGTTTTTATGCCACAGGACTGGCATTATGTAACAGCTTCCTCAAGTAATGAGCACAGTCAACTGATTGGTTTAAATTAAAGATACTTGATCAACTAATGAGAAGGAAAGTACAGCCTTACCTCCAGTAACATTAAGTGTTGGATTGGGAATTTCTGCCTAATCCAATTCTGCATTTTCCAAGAAAAGTCTATCAGTTACAGTTTGAAGAGCAAAGATACAAGTCCAATTTTGACTTGTGCGAGCATACAGAATAAAAACATTTGTTAGAAAAACAAATGTTTGTTAAAACAATGGAAACAATGAAAAAAAGTGGCACGTTTCATGGCACATTTCCAGGCACATAAGTTGCACAGCTGTATCATGTTACAGATTATAGCAAAAGCTACCTCCAGAATGGCTTCCTGCAGAATCAGCTCGTTACATATTGCTCCCCATTCACACAGAAAGGGGAAGTTTCAAGCTGTATCCTGACACTGCTACAGATCCAGCATTCTCCCAGGCTGATGTGTGCACCTTACAACAGCCACTAGGTGGAAGCAACCTGAATAAATTCACTGTCAGATCAAGGCCGCACAGCAAGGAATGGCTACTTGGAAATGAAAGCCAAGCACCCCACGCCCTGAATACCGGTGTTTATCCTAGCCTTTGGTAAGTCACAGAAGGTGTTTACATTATATTATAATGAAATCATCTGACAAACTCTTTCAATCTGAAACATATTCATAGGTTTAGTTTGTAGAGAGATCACAGTTTCTGCTGAGAAAGAGAAAAATCAAACAACTGCAGGGAGTTATGCAGAGCACAGTCTGCAAGTGGGTGAGGAAAAGACAGCATCTTCACTGCCACAGAAAGCCAGGAAAGGATTCTCCAGCCATAGTCATCCCAGAAACACTGGCCAAAACCCCTGCTTAGGGATCCTTCATCATCTTTTAACACAGATGTGTCTCAGTTACCCTGTGCTTGTGCTTGCAAGTGACTTGATATTGTTAATCAATGCCTTCGTTCACTTTTACTCACACTGCAAGTGATCCAACACCAAAATCCAACACCACCTATACCAACACCAACACCAACATCCAACACCACCTATACCAACACCACACCAAAATCCAACACCACCTATGCCAGCACCAGCACCAAAATCCAACACCACCTATACCAACACCAACACCAAATCCAGCACCACCTATACCAACACCAGCACTAAATCCAACACCACCTATACCAACACCAGCACCAAATCCAACACCACCTATACCAACACCAGCACTAAATCCAACACCACCTATACCAACACCAACACCAAATCCAACACCACCTATACCAACACCAGCACTAAATCCAACACCACATATACCAACACCAGCACCAAATCCAACACCACCTATACCAACACCAGCACTAAATCCAACACCACCTATACCAACACCAGCACCAAATCCAACACCACCTATACCAACACCAACACCAAATCCAACACCACCTATACCAACACCAGCACCAAATCCAACACCACCTATACCAACACCAGCACCAAATCCAACACCACCTATACCAACACCAGCACTAAATCCAACACCACCTATACCAACACCAGCACCAAATCCAACACCACCTATACCAACACCAGCACTAAATCCAACACCACCTATACCAACACCAACACCAAATCCAACACCACCTATACCAACACCAACACCAAATCCAGCACCACATATACCAACACAACACCAAAATCCAACACCACCTATACCAACACCAGCACCAAATCCAACACCACCCATACCAACACCAACACCAAAATCCAACACCACCTATACCAGCACCAACACCAAAATCCAATACCACTTATACCAACACCAAAATCCAACACCAAAATCCAACACCAACACCAAAATCCAACACCACCTATACCAACACCAATACCAAATCCAACACCACCTATACCAACACCAACACCAAAATCCAACACCACCTATACCAGCACCAACACCAAAATCCAACACCACCTATATCAACACCAAAATCCAACACCAAAATCCAACACCACCATACCAGCACCAACACCAAATCCAACACCATCTATACCAACACAACACCAAATCCAACACCACCCATACCAACACCAACACCAAATCCAACACTACCTATACAAACCTCATATGGCTAGAGCAAAGTTTAACAACAGCCAGAAGAAATCCTAATTTGACTGTTTACAAATAAAGGTCGTTCAAATGATCAAGCAGCAAACCTTCATGATACTTCCAGATTGCCACTCAACACTGCATCATGCAGACTGCTAGAACACATGCACTAGGTGTAATACAAAATACCTTGCTCCTGGATTAAAAAAACAGCCCTACTGTGGTCTGCAGACTTGCATGTAAGTTATTAAGAATTGCCTGTACTACCAGTTCACATCTGAATTGTTTCAGTTTAGATAATGCTTTCAAATGATTGTATGTGCTTTCCAGCTGGGTGAGTGAGGTTGTGAGGAAATGCTGACATGACCTTAATAGCTGCATATTCCTTACAAAAAATATGTATAGAGAGAGAGACACATGGATAATCCTACCTGTTATGGTTTTCCCCATATCTTATTTTTCTATAACTTATTGACTGGCAAAACTTTGGGGTGAATTTCATTAACTGTTCCACAAGTTGAGTTTTTCCCTTTCAATATATAAGCAGTTTTCTGCAGACTGGAAGAGGATAAAGAACAAAGTATTTCACAAAAAAAAATAAAATTCCTCAAACACAGCTGGCCTCATTTAACAACAGCTGTGTTAATAGTTTGTGAAAGCAACCTTCTAGCAAAGCTGCAACATTCACACAATTTTAGGGGAAAGAAGTCAAATATTTCACGTATCCTCTGCAGGAGGTTTGAGAATAATTTATTTAGTCAAAGAGAATTTTATAGGGCATCTGCAAGGACAACAGCCTAAAATAATCTTTTTCAACTCTTCTAGTTGCTATCCCACAGTCCTTCAAATCTGCATGCCCACACGTAAGCACTGTCCAGTCTTTGATCCAATTCTTCCAATCCCAACCTTCACAATTTGGATGTTTTCCTGCTTTTACCACCTAAGACAAACTGCAAACACATTTAACAAGAGTTACAAAGCAAAGAGTTCAAGTTTGGGGGGGGAATTAGGTACTATTAGAACTCAAAACATTTTAGAATAATTAATTTAATTGAAATGATGGTCAATAGATACAAGACTGCTACTCCTCTAAAGCTTCTCAGCGAAGGGCATTATGTTAAAGCTGGGAGAGACCTCACTGCTGCTCTGTTTGTTCAGCAAAGAACATCCTGGCAAGTGAAAAATGCAAGCACACAATAAGAATGAAAATAAGACTGGAAGCAGCCAGCTCAGTTTCATACAGCAAATTTTTGGCAGACTTTCAACTCCTTCTGCTGTTTTTCTCACAAGAGCATCCATCTGCATGATGTCACCAGACTCAGTGAGGGAGGAAGCCAGAATAAATGAGACTGACAGCATCTTACAGGCTGCCAGCCTCTAAGCACATGTTGTTACTATACAAAGGATGTCTACAAACCAAACATGCTCTACACAAACCATACCCTCTCCCCTTAGGAGACTTCAAAAAAGTACCTAAGGGGGAGAAGAAACAAATAAATCCAAAAAAATCAGTTTTGGCCAATCCATCTGCTTTTGTCTTCTTAAATCAGGAAAAATGAGTTAGGAAGCTACTCAAAATGGACAGATAAGCCTTCATAGCAAACTCTGCAGCCCATGTTGTCAGTGGTAATTGTCAATAACCTGAACACACTCCCTTCTGCAAACATTTCAGTACCACCAGAGACTCACTAAATATCAGGACTGCGTTTGCTCCATCATCACACATCTGCTTGTAGTTGTGTCTGTTGTCGGCATCACTTCAGTGCAAAGTCAAAGCTAGAGTAAAAGAAACACACACACATACACACACACACACCCCTCACCTCCCTTATTTTTATGTTTGTTTTAAACAACAAAAACATTCTGAATGTTAGTTTGTCAGTTCTGCAGTGAAACAACCCACCATCATCAGTACTGACAGAACCACTGTCACTACAGCATAATAGAATCCTAACTAGAAGTTACTATCTAGCAGCACTGACAGATGGCTTCTTAGAATTCATGCTAGGCAATGGGTTTTTGTTAGTCTCTGTCCTGGTTTTGGTTGGCATAAATTTTCTTCCCAGTAACTGGTGTGGTGCTGCTTTAGGCTGGGTTTCAGGTTACCAAAGCTCTTTTACAGATAATGCTTTGATGTTATTGTACATAGTGGAAAAAACAAACCCCAAACAATATTTCCCAAATTATGTTATTAAAGTAATTTTTGTGCTGAAGAAAACAAATCTAAGTAAACCGTAAGAACCTTTTGTGTGTCTGTTACAACAACAGGCATGTGTTTGCCTGTGGAGACATTCTGTCTCTAACTCACTTAGCTGAGTCTTGCTTAGGGAAGTGCATTTAAATGGAAGAATAGACAGCCTAAAATGAGATAACATCAAAATAAGAGGAGAGAAAAAAATAAAGACAAGAAAAGTATGAAATGCATCTCTCTTAATAAGAGAAACAAAACAGGATCATTAGAAGAATTGAGAACATTCAAATCAAATCTTTTCTTGCACTATTACAGAAAGAACATCTGAAATGCTGGTGCAAGAGTAACGTGGAGGTTAGTAGTTTGGATAGTGCAGTATATACAGATGGATTCTATGTGGTGATTATGGTATCCATAAATCTATGGGAACAAAATCACTGAGGATTTGAGGCTGGCACTCAAACTAAAGTAAGTGCCTTGCTGCGATAAGAACTTCACAAAATGTTAGCTTGAAATATTTAGACACAACATCATTAAATAAAATTCCCAGAACCGACAATAAATCTCCTCTCACAGGATTAAATCGATTTGTTTGCCAGAATCACATCACAAGATTTCCTGCCTGCAGGGTCACTGGGCAGGGGGGAAGAGAGCAACCTATGGAGAGAGCTCCAGATTTCCCCATTTGCAGCCCAAAGGCACTCACTGCAGCTCACCATCCGACTCAGGAGCCTGGCAGCTCTCTTTACTCAAAGCTTTATCTTAGAAGCTCCCTTATATCCTTTGTCCCTAACTTTTAAGTTGCATTCCATGATCTTTTGTTTTTCCACAGAAATGACTTTGATTTCTAACAAGTAATTATTTTAGGGAAGAGACCTCTGTGAACACCTAATTTCTGTGCGTCCAATAAATAATTACATCTTTAGATACTACACCCTGCTTTCCTTCAACATCAGCTGCATCCCTGAAGGCAGGAAAAGCAGTTCAGTTAGAGAAGTAATACAAGCAGATAGGAGCATCTGACACAGTGCAGTAGCCTACATAAAGGCACTTGCAGGAAAAGTATGAAACAGAGCTGTGAATGATAACTCAGAGCACATTAAAAACACCTGACAGAGGGCTGCAATCTGTAGTTCACTCAGGATAACCACGCAAGTGGAACTACAGGACTGAATTCTACCCTTTCCTTTTGAAGCTGTAGGGCCTCGAACACCAGACGGACAAACCGACAAAACAAAACAAAGCCCAACACTCTGCATGTAATTATTCAACACAAAAATCCACTGCTCAGTGTTTTACCATATTCATCACAGTAAGATTTAAGAAACTCCAGGCTCTTGACCCACAGAATTCAGCATTTTCAGGTATTTAGCTGAGTAGCAAGAGAAATAATTTGTTCTAACCCATTTTTTAACACAGGCAACTGATGTAGGCATTGACAATAATTAGTAAGTTTGGGTGATTCATAGGTCTTCATAGAATCATACCTGGAAAACTCAGTACTTTAGACCTGTAATTCATCATTCATACAAGTCCACAGAGTACTTAATTTGTCTTCAACACCAAACAAGCAAACAGATTATCAATGGGATTTTGGGTGCTACGCACAAAGACTGTTTTTGGACACCCTTCTCTGTCCTTTCTTTTTAATCTCACTAAAAATCCAGTACAGCACAAGAGCAGCAAGAATGGAAAGGCTGTCAAGACTCTCAAATAACAAAAAAAAGCTACGATTTCTCATTCAGTGCACAATGCAGTTTTACTTGCTGCAAGAAAAGGCATTCTACAGCCAGGGAGATTGTTGAGTCTAGAGAAGTTAAGGCAGATGTCAGATGGCAGAGGCAACAAATAAAGGAAAACAAATAAACAAAAAATCTAAGCAGGCAGAATGAAGACTGACACGACTCAGAAAGTTTAGCTTGCAACTCTCAAAGGAGCAGGCAGGAATAAAACATACTTACCCACCTGCTCCAGAGTTCAAAGGACTCAGCAGTCTGTCACACATAGGATTTATTTAGCAGATTTTCTGCTGATTGCATGTTTGTACCTACTGTAAGAACATGGAAACCATCTTTTGATGAAACGGACGTTACTTCATTTCATCTTTATACTTTTTTTAACTGTTTTATTCTACCATCGCTTTGACATAAGATAAAATTGCTGGGAAACTAGGCAGAATGACAGCAGATTATTTTCTTTCTCCCTGTTGTTTCCTCCCTTCTTACATAACGCAGCTGACTCTGGAGTCAAGCTGTCATTCATTTAGCAACGTTCTCCATCATCCATCCACCCTGCCTGTCCATGCTTTATGACTCTGCAGTACATAAGATTCCTTTAAGAGCCAAACTTCAGAGATGCATCTTTCCACTTCTGTTAACAATCACCACGACAGAAAGAACTACCGACAGGGATTCAGCCAATGCACTGGCCTAATCTCATCCTTTTTAGACAGGTACTCTG